CTTCTATGGGAAGGTCTAAAAGACTTAATACCTTTTTACGAAAAAAAAAACTTCTAATAACCTTATCTTTCTTTTCCATGAATAAATACTTAATAAATTAATTTGCAATGGATTAGAAAGATTTGGTCTTTGTATAGCAGACCTTTTGGTTAACCTTTTCAATTTTCCCCGCTGTGGCTGGTACTCCTTCCTATAGTATGTGTAATTTAATTGTGATTAAAAACTCTCAAATCACACTTTAAATGTTGTGTAAAAACACCTTTCATTAGTTTACAATTTATCAAGCGATTGATAGAAAGGATACATGTAATAAAATGTGTTGTTATAAATTAAAAGATGAGACAACTTTTAGAATAATTAAAATATTTATTACAAAACTTACATAATTAAGTGAATAATTGTCACAATTTAAGTTCAGGTTTGGGTATTATTCTTTTCCTCTATTGTCATCGAAACCATAACAATTTACTTTAATTAGTTCTTTGTTAAAAATTTCCATTTCAATTGCATCACAATGGCATTTAGCTTTGGAAACTGGTAGGTTATCATGGCAGTTTACTGATAGGTACGTAAACATACAGGTAGAATCGAAAGGATACCGTTTTGGACTCTTGCATGATATATTGTCATTAACATCGTTATATAATGGGTTTCTAGCTTTCTTAACTATGAACTTTTCCCATCTTTCTGGCACCAAAAGATCATCCTTCTCATTACAAACCTGGCGAAAGAGGTGCTAGCTAAACCTCTAGTCTGCCTGAACTATAAACTGGTGATGATCGGCTTTTCCTTTGGATGTTTTGCCATGGGGTAGAACCAGAGCACTATGGTTGGCCAGTTGCCCGCAGGACTTTGTCCTGGCTGGTCTGTTGCTTAAGGTTTCTTCGGGATCCACGTAGTGGCTTTGGTTTAAACTCAAATTCGCGTGAAGGGACGCTTATTTAAACGATTGATGCACGGTGAAATATAATTTTCTAAATAAGTTTCTGGTACAAACAGCAGGGTAAGGCTGTGGATTAATAAAATGTTGGAGTTGAGCTGATAATGCAAAGATTTGATATGATCGGATACTTGTATCTAATGATATGAGAGGGATTCTGAGCTGTTTTTGACGAGGTACGGATGGAGTGAGATGTTTAACGGAACTAAGTGAGAAGTTTGCAGAGCTGAGTGGAACTGGTTAAGTATGTTGGAGTTTACTCTCAAACATGCTCAACTTATTCTTGTGGCCACTGAAATAAGTCTTGTCAATTAAAATGGATCTGTACTTCGATCCAAACAATAGATCCATTTCAATAGTATGGTTGTGCGATTTAAAGAGGTTCAGGAATGCACTGGGGTAGTTCTTTAGATGATGAGAATGCCTTAGGGATGGAGCATTCCTCATAGCATTAATAGGGTATTTTCACCTGATGTTGGCTACGTCGCTTCTATTGGCTCTAAACTAGTGAATGCCTTTTCCTTGTCGGGGTATGTATAGGCTTGTCTCATTATACCTGTCATTCCTCAATGAGGCTACTATGGCAAGAGATTAGATAGCTCGAGGACTTGAGCATTGTGTTTGTACATGGACCGGCATGAAGAAGCACAAAGGGCGGTGGTGAGTAATCAATGAAGCTCACCCTGTAGATGAAAAAGATCACTTCTTTATAAATAGCTTTCAACAAGTATTAAAACTTATGACCGATAATAGATAGGACTCATTTGGTCCCACCAAATACAGAGCATAACCTTACATCCAAGGATATTTGGTTTTGCTGCTGATTCGTCTGGTTGACCGGATTTACATACGATCTCTTACGCATCTGGTCATTCTAATGGATCCATTTTTCATTTCGCAAATACCATTTTGGATTACAAATAGCCACTGACTATGAAGTTATTTCAAGGTGGATTGGTACAAAATGAGGAGGTCAATTGACTCCTTATTTCGATTACAAATTGACAATAGGTTTCAACTGTTATCTTTTTAGATTACTTTGAGACAATTTTTTGGTAAACTAATGTGACGATAATCTTCTCTCTGGGCACACTGGATACTAATGCCCCAATTCATACGAATTAGAGTCATGATGATTAGTGGAAATTAATTATACAAGTGCATTTGACACCTAGTCAAACTGATTGGAATGTTTCTGCAAGAAATCAGTGGTCATTCAATTCTACTGTATAAAAGAATTGTCCTTTCCATGACAATGTGGTCGTTTCAACGACAATTAGATCTTCGCTCCGGAACGACCTGAGTTCATACTCGAGTAAAGATTGTCAACTTTATGAACTGTAACAAAGTTAAGGTATAAAGGGTAGCCACTCAATTTAGAGCAGCTCACCTGATTGCGGTCCTTTAAGATTTCAGTCCCTTTAAGATACCCAATTTGTCGTAAGAGTCCTTTATAGTACTACTCACTACTTTTAGAGTTAAACAGCTGGTAACAAGTTTATTATAGTTAGCAGAGCCTTCGTTGGCGCAGTCTTCATTTACTCCCTTGTAGAATATTGCAATGTTCCTTAGGCTGTATACAATGGCTGAGAGAATTAGAGTGAGAATTGCTTTATATTGTCTATAGTTTACCGGCATGATCACTAGGTCTTAGTCCGTTTAACTTTGGAGGCATACATTTTTCAACGTCATACCTCGTAGTAAAAAAAACAAGATCAGTTTTCAGCCTTTTCACACTAAGGCCAAAGAAAACACTTCACTTACCCAGCAAATGTCAGCATAAGCGACAGTATCCTTCTGTCTAATTCAGTTACCAATTTATATTCCAGTTGGGAAGACAGAACTCCCTCCTAAGGTATGCCATGTCTAGCAAATCTTGAGATATTGACTACGTCCATCGTTACATTAATCAACCTTTTACTCAGAAGCTTCTTAATGAACTGCTGAGTTTGTTGATAAATAAATCGTTCAAGAGTTTTGAGAAGAAAAGACGCATGACTGATTATTCCATAGTCCTTTAGTTTAGTATGTGATGTCTTTCAGCTGGTTTACACTGAGGCCACATGAAACCTTCGACTTACCCAGCAAATGTCAGCATAAGCGAATGTCTTCATCTATCTAATTCAGTAAACAACGAGTTTATAGTCACATTCCAGAGTAAGAGAGGCAGAGCTACAACCTGGGGTTGTTGATCAATAACTCGTTCAAGAGTCTTGAGAAAAAAGGACGCGTGACAGATTGTTTCATAGAGTCCTTTGCTTTAGTATGTGATGCATTTCAGACGGTTCACACTGAGGCCACAGGAAACGCTCCACTTACCCAGCAAAATTCAGCACAAGCGACTATCTTCTTCTATCTAATTCAGTAAAGAACGAGTTTATTGCCACATTCCAGAGTAGGATAGGCAGAACTAACATCTGGGGGTGTTGACCAATAACTCATTCAAGAGTCTTGAGAAGAAAAGACGCATGACTGATTATTCCATAGAGTAATTTGCTTTAGTATGTGACGTCTTTCAGCCGTTTCACACTGAGACCACAGGAAACGCTCCACTTACCCAGCAAATGTCAACATAAGCGACTGTCTTCTTTTATATAATTCAGTAAGGAACGAGTTTGTAGCCACATTCCCGAGTAGGAGAGGCAGAACTACCTCCTAAGGTTGTTGATCAATAACCCGTTCAAGAGTCTTGAGAAGAAATGAGGCGTGACAGATTGATCCATAGAGTCCTTTTCTATAGTATGTGATATCTTTCAGCCGTATTACACTGACTACGCCCATCGTTACATTAACCACCCGTTTACTAAGGAGCTTCTTAATGAATTGCTGAGTTTTTGTTGATCAATAAAACGTTCAAGATTCTTGTTATACGTCCATAGAGTCATTTGCTTTAGTATGTGATGGCCTTTCATCCTCTACGAGGGATGTATAGCCTCCTAAGGCATAACAAGATCTTCGTTTTTTTCTAAAGATCCGCATCAACAACACCAACTAATTTTGAAATAAGTCCCTATAATTGTTCAATGTCCGCCACAATAAAAAGTATTGCATTTAAAAGTCTTAGAAGTGAAAATTTTTAGAAATTCCCTTCGATTTGGAGTTAGTAGATTGTGATCTAATCTTTATTTTGTCTTTAATCCATCGTCATTCAGACGATGGAATTGAAGAATTTGTCAAGTTTTACATTCAAAAGTCCACTTCTTTAGATTGTCGTTATCTTGGCAAATAATCCTCATAGTCCAGCAGTTTAGAGTTTCAGTTACGTCTCGAACAATTCCTCAATGTTTTTCCTCATATTCCAGCAGTTTAGAGTTTCAGTCTCGAACAATTCCTCAAAGTCCTAATTTGCATTCTTATACAGTTCACTCCTTTAGTCCAATCCAGTCCAGTGCTTTGAGATAATATTAAATTGATGATTTTAGTTAAGATTTTTTTTTAATAAAAAACTTTATTTAAATATTTTTCATTTTTTTTTATACGCTTATTAACTATTTGTGTAAAAATATTTTATGTATGTATGCACTACTACAACTTAATAAGTTGATGCAGTAATTTGCATTATTTTGCTTGAATAAAAATATGAATAATTTATTATAATTATTATAAGAGAAACAAAAATGAAAGCAGGACACAAACAACACTTTCTGCCTGTTTAAGTAGCAAAATACAAGTTAAAAAAATTATAATATATTTTTCCATAATTTTAATGAAATTATTGAAAATGAAGAGAAATTAAAACACAAATAGGTCATTAGAGGAAATTGTTAATGGTAGGACGCAGCAGACACTGGCAGTTAACAAAGATTAATATGAGGTAGTAAAGAGGGGGGGGGGGGAGGTGTTAATCAAGTTTTACTTAAAGGAAATTTTAATGTTTTATTGGGTTAAAAAACAACTTTGCTCCTAGTTAAGGAAATCAGAAATAAGTTTTCTTTTTTTCTAAGGATGTTTAAGATAGAAATTAAAAGCAACAAACTTTAAATGAAACCGAAAATGTATAATATTAAGGAGATAAAGAAAATAAAAACAGGATACTAAAAGGGTAATGAAAAAGTAAAAGTAGTGGGCCATTTTAACATGGTGTTACACACACACCCAACTGGAATGCAGTTAATTTATGAGCATATTGTGTAGATACCATATTGTTTTTTACTTCTCTCTTGCTCAATATACAAATGAAAATTAATATTAATACAAAAAAAAAATATATAAGAAAACAGAAACAGACACACACACACACACAGAGACACAAAACTAAATAATTTAAACTGCAGGACGTTTGGCCGGTGAACAGGCAACAGCAGCTTCGGCTTCTGAAGTTGGCTCTTCTGGCTTTTTACGCTTAATTAAATGTGAAATATCGGTAGGTTTCGACGAAGATATTATGGCAGCTGATGATGCTGATGATGACGACATAGAGCTAGTACCATCTGTTGTTAACGAGGAGGCGGCGGCAGCTGCTGCTGTTGCAGATTTTGAAGAGCCAGCATCTACATCACCACTGCTGAGTGGTTTAATGTAACTATCTAAAGCAGCACGTACTTCAGCAATATTCTGCAATGAAATTGTTCAAAAAATAAAAAGAGAAAGAAAACAAAACACAATACAAGATATGAATATTAAATTACAATTAATAGACTTTTTCTATGCACACAACACAAATATGTATGTATATGTAGTAGTTGTTTAGTTGTCGTTGTCTGGTTTGTTGTAATATTGTTGCAATTAGTATGATAAAATGTTATGAATTTAAAGAAATATGTATGAGTTTCTTCTATAGCAATGTTAATTAATTTAAAATAATATTATGCAGCTGACGTACAAGGTTTAAAGGCAATTTGTTAATAGCGTTTTCTAGGGTTAAGCTAAATTTTCTAAAATATTCAAATGTTCATTCCTATAATGTTTAAGTTATAAAGGTTCTTATGAATATGTGTTAATAATACTATAACTTTTCAAAATATCCCCTTACCTGTGCTTGTGTTTCTTCAATTTCTGTGATTTTTGCTTCTATTTCTTGTTTTGTTTCCTCCATATCTTGTATATTATTCTTATCCTTTTCAGTGAGTTCTGTTGATTTCTTAATTTCCTCAATTTCTCCTGCAATAAGATTACAGGCCTCCTTTAAGGAAGCAGCACCTTCTTTATTTTGCTGTTGCATTAAAAATGTTAAACCGATTTTATAGTGTATTTCGGCCATAGCGCGGCGATAGTTGTTGGGCAATTCTTTGTAAATAATTAAGGCTTTTTCTAAAAAGAAGAGAAGAAGTAAAGGCATGGAGTATAAAAACAGCTCTTTTTTGTAACTTATGTATCGCAACTCACCATAATCATCACGTGCTGAATCCAAAATGTTATTTTCAAATTCAATATTAGCCAATTCGGTTTGTACCTCAGCCAAATTGGGTAGACCACGTTCGCCCTGGCGGGAGAAGATTTTGGCAGCCAATTCAAGAATTTCCCAAGCTAATTGTAGATTGGAGGCCTGGAAAATATTAAAAGGAAGAATTTTAGTGAAAAAAAAAATTAAAATTTTTCTAGTGATTTTTCACTAAAAATTAAGTGAATTTTCACACAAATTTTTGTGAATTTTTCACCAAATTTTTTTGAATTTTAATCAAAATTTTTAATTTTTAGTGAATTTTTCACCGAAATTTTTAGTGAATTTTTCACCAAAATTTTTAGTGAATTTTTCACCAAAAAATTGTAGAAATTTTTTTTCAGTGATTTTTTTGACAAAAGTTTTAACAATTTTTTTTTTTCAACAAAAATTTTAGTGAATTTTTCACCAAAAATTTTAGAAAATTGTTTTCACTAAAAATTTTAATAAATTTAAAGATTGGTGAATTGTTTTTTCAATAAATATTTTAGTAATATAAAAAAAATATTTTTTCCACCAAAAAAAATTAGTGAAATTTTTTCACTGAAATATCTCGAAAATATTTCATTGAAATTTGTAAAAATAATTTTTTTTTTTAATTTAGCGAAATTTTTGACTAAAAAGTTTTGCGAATTGTTTTCACCAAATTTGTTCACTAAAAATTTTTATAATTTTTTTTTACGAAATATTTTTTTGAATTTTTAGTGAAGTTTCACCCAAAATTTTAGAAATTTTTTTTTCACTAAAAATTGTAATAAATTTAAAGATTGGTAAAATTTTTTTCAATAAATATTTTAGTAATATAAAAAAAAATATATTTTTTCACCAAAAAAAAAAAGTGAAATTTTTTCACTGAAATATCTCGAAAATATTTCACTAAATATTTTTGAAAAGTTTCACTAAAAATCTAAAAATGTTAATCTAAACATTTTTTTTAAAATTTTAGAAAATTTATTCACAAAAATTTAAGTGAATTTTTCACAAAAAATTTTTTCGTTAAAAAGTTTTAAAATTTAAAAATGGGTGAATTTCAAAAATTCACCATAAATTTTCAGTGAAATTAAAAGAATACTTTTTCACGAAAATATTTCACTAAATTCAGTTATTTTTTATATTTGAGAGAAGTTTTTCATTAAAATGAATTTTGTTCAATTAATTTTTAGTGAAATTTTTCATTTAAAACTTTAGTAAAACTTTTCACTTAAAATTTTAGTGAAATTTTTCCTTAAAATTTTAGTGAAATTTTTAATTAAAAATTTTATCGAAATTTTTCAATTAAAATTTTAGTGAAATTTTTACTTAAAAATTTAGTGAAATATTTTCACATAAAATTTTAGTCAAATTTTTCACTTAAAATTTTTGTGAAATTTTTCACTTAAAACTTTAGTGAAATTTTTCACTTAAAATTTTAGTGAAATTTTTCATTTAAAATTTTAGTGAAATTTTTCACTTAAAATTTTAGTGAAATTTTTCACTTAAAATTTTATTGAAATTTTTCTTTTAAAATTTTAGTGAAATTTTTTACTTAAAATTTTGGTGAAAAATTTCACTTAGTGAAAATTTTGCTGAAATTTCTCATTTTCACAATTTATTGAATTTTGAATTTTTCAAAAAAAATGTTTAAAAGTTCCTCTTAACTCACCGCTTCATTTTCTTCATCATCTTCCTCTCCACCAGCATCACCATTCGATGTTGATGGTTTTTCACCATCATCAATGGCAATCGAGGTTTGTGCCTTTTCTGCCGAGCCATTTGCTTCTCCATTTGTGGTCTTTTTCTCTTCTGGACCCTCCTCCTTCTTCTCGGTTTTAGTATCTTCAGTACTGGTAACTTCTGATTCCTCTTCCATTTTTTCTGGTTTATCTTCCTTCTTTTCCTCTTCCTCTACTACCTCTTTCTTTTTATCTACCTCTTCTGCTGCCGTAGTATCAGCAGCATCTTCTTTTATACTCTCCAATTTAGTGCCATTTGTACCGGCAGCAGCTGCCGCCTCTTTAGCTTTGCCATTTGTTGTTTCGGCTGCAGCTTCAGCACCATTATCTTCTTCATCTTCCTCATCGTCATCTTCTTCCTCATCGGGTACATCGATAACTTTGTTTTCATCTAAAGCCAAAGCTATAAGAGATTTGGCATAGAGTAAATAGGGCATACCCAATTCATCGGATAATTCGCCATATAATTCTTCATAGAGAGCACAAACTTGACTTAGTTCATCAGCTGCCTCGGCAAAGGATTTAACCAGGAAGTTACGTGAACCATGACTGTAAAGTTCTTTAGCTTTTAAAATCTTTTCGGATCGTTCCTGTTCGACTATGGCTTCGGTGGAGAGTGTCTCCGTGGTAGTGGGTGCAGTTGTCTCTTCAGAGGTTTTGGCAACAGTCTGTTCTTCGGTTGGCATGTTTGTGTTGTTGTAGATTTCTTTTTTTATGTGATAACAAATTAGCTAAAATTAAAGATAAAGAAATATTTAGAAAATCTATTAAATTAACATATTTTCTTAACACATTTTATTACATGTATCCTAAAGTGGAATTGTAAAGAAACTAAAACACCAAACTATAAATATTTAAACAAAAAAAAAAAAAAATCTATCAACATCTCTTTCTCTTAAAGGATTATAAATATTTATTTTAAACAGAAGGCAATAATCACGTAGGTTGTACCGCAAACTCTCATCAAAACATGTTTTAATTAAGAACCAAAAAAAAAACAAAATCCAAAAAAATTTAAAAACTAAACTAATTTAAATTATTTATTTTATTCTTTTAACAAAATCAAGTTGCATGCAATTGCTTTCTTTATCTGTCTTTGTCTATTCATTAATTTGGCTTGTTTTATTATGCGTTTCTTTTTCGCCTTGACTTTAATTAAAACAAATACACAAATTTTATAATTAACTCTGTACTATATAAAATAAAAACCAAATTACAAAAAATAAGTAAGAATTCTCTTTTAAACACGTAGAAAAGTTAAAAGTTTGGCATCAGTTTTATTTCGTTTTTTTTTTTATATATATATATAAAAAAACTTTTGTTTTTTATTTAATTCCCCATATACATCATCATTTACACAAACTCGCACGCATTTAGTTAATTTCAAAATTTGTGTAAATTACAATTAAGAAGTTCTTAAATGTGTTTTTAGTTAATGAAAATATTTCAATTACAAATAAATAAACAAATGGTAAATAACTAGATACAGGTAGAAAAAACAAACAAAAATATTGAGAAAACGAAGGACATTCCCACGAAAATTTGTTCTTAACACCGGAACGACCAACTTTTCCTATAGAGAGGTTGTTTAAAACAAATCAAGTTTTCCTATAGAAATGTTGCCTGAAAGAGATAAACTTTTATTATAGAAAAGTTGTCTGAGCTACTTTTCCTATAGAAAAGTTGTATGAAACAGAGCAACTTTTCCCTGTCAGAAACAGAGGAACTTTTCCTATAGAATAGTCGTCCGAAGCAGAGCAACTTTTCCTAAAGAAAAGCTGTCTAAAATAGAGCTGCTTATACTATAGTTTCCTATAGAAAAGTTGTATGAAACAGAGCAACTTTTCCTATAGAAAAGTTGTCTGAAACAGAGCAACTTTTTCTATAGAAAAGTTCTCTAAAATAGAACTTTACCTATAGAAAAGTTGTCAGAAAAAGAGCAACTTTTCCTATAGAAAAGTCGCCAAAAGCAGAGCAACTTTTCCTAGAGAAACGTTTTCTGAACCAGAGCAACTTTTCCTACAGAAACGTTGTCTGAATTAAACATGCTTTACCTATATAAAAGTCGTTTGAAATAGAGCACCTTTCTCTACAGAGAAGTTGTCTGAAACAGAGCATCTTTTCCTATAGAAAAGTTGTCTGAAACAGAGCAATTTTTCCTATAGAAAAGTTGTCTAAAACAGAGCAATTTTTCCTATAGAAAAGTTGTCTGAAACAGAGCAACTTTTCCTATAGAAAAGTTACATGAAACAGAGCAACTTTTCCTATAGAAAAGTTACCTGAAACAGAGCAACTTTTCCTATAGAAAAGTTACCTGAAACAGAGCAACTTTTCCTATAGAAAAGTTACCTGAAACAGAGCATAAGAATAGTCTGAATAGCTGTCAAAAATAGAGCTGCTTATACTATAGAAAAGTAGTTTGAAAAAAAGCAACTTTTCCTATAGAAAAGTCGCCAAAAGCAGGGCAACTTTTCCTATAGAAAAGTTATCTGAAACAGAGCAACTTTTCCTATAGAAAAGTTTTCTGAAGAAGAGCAACTTTTCCTATAGAAAAGTCGCCAAAAGCAGAGCAACTTTTCCTATAGAAAAGTTTTCTGAACCAGAGCAACTTTTCCTATAGAAAAGTTTTCTGAAGAAGAGCAACTTTTCCTATAAAAAAGTTGTCTGAAGAAGAGCAACTTTTCCTATAGAAAAGTTGTCTCAAACAGTGCAACTTTTCCTATAGAAAAGTTGTCTGAAACAGAGCAACTTTTCCTATAGAAAAGTTGTCTGAAACAGAGCATAAGAATAGTCTGAAACAGAGCAACTTTTCCTATAGAAATGTTTTCTGAAGAAGAGCAACTTTTCCTATAAAAAAGTTGTCTGAAGCAGAGCAACTTTTCCTATAGAAAACTTGTCTGAAACAGAGCAACTTCTCCTATAGAAAACTTCTCTGAAACAAGCAACTTCTCCTATAGAAAACTTGTCTATAACAAAGCAGCTTTTATTGTCTAAAAAGTTGCCGAGTAGAGTAGCACTCCCCTACAGAAATACTGACTAAAGCAAAGCAACTATTTCTATAGAAAAATTGTCTGCAACATTTTCCATAGAAAAGTTGTCCTTTACACATTAACTTTTCCTATAAAGAAAATAAGTGAATTAAAAGTTAAAAGTATTTTAATTGTAAATAAATTAACAAATGATAAAAATGAAAGGAATGTTTATAAAAGGTATATTTAACATTTAACACCAGACTACATTGTTTTAAAGCAAAAATTCTATAAACATTTTATATTATTTTAAACAAGGTCATTTCCGTTTCCCTTTTGCACGTTGGCAATGGATAAAAATTTAACAGCATTACTTGTCGTCTTTTACGTACAATCCAACGTGTCCTCAAAAAGCATGTGTTTTTAAAATGTGCACATCCGTTGAGGCTCATTTTAATAGTAATTTGTATAGTAAAATATATTTAAAATGTTAAATAAATGTAAAGACTTAAATTGCATTTGTAATCTTGTGGAAATTGTAGCCACTATTAAAAACTGAACTGTTTCCTTATCATGTCGTCTTCGTTCTTGCTTTTTTGCTTAATCAAAATATCTTGTATTTTAAATGACAACAACAACAAGAATTAAGTATAAAATAAAATTGAAATTTGTTTTTATGAATTAAACTTCTTAAAAGTATCATAAGTAGATTTAAATACTTTATACACTTTATTAAATTGCTTTAGATTTGTTAAACTTAACAGAGAGAGAGAGATAGCTTTGTGGTGAGATTTACTATGTGTGTCTTTTAGTAATTCAATGTATGTTATTTACAACTTAAATAAATCTTTCTCTTAAGCTTACTTAATACAATTAGATTGTGTTGTATGTCAAATGTAACTAGGTACTGCTTTGACTAGAGAACTTTGTTTAAAAAGAGAATTTTAAGGTTAAGATTAAATTGTTAAAGAAAATTTAAGTTTTAAGAAATTTTTAAAAAAACTCTTGTAATTTTAGATCTAAAACGCTTTATAAAACAAAATTTAAAATTTTACTTATCCTTACAACATTTTTGGGTTGTCATTACAAAACAAAATTTCGCTCTATGCTATAAACTTCTTGTTCATTAGTATAATTACCCCGGTTCAATATCCAAAAACATCATCATCAGCACACATATGCAGGGGGTAATACATACATGCAATTAAAAGGCTTTTAAGACAAAATAATACAGTTTGTTGTCATGTTAAACAAGCATTTTGATTATACATTGAGTGACAGAACAGTTTGTTAAATGTCAATGTTCAAAGGAAATGAAACATATTGGAGGAATAATGGTTAAAACATCAATTATGAAACCAATTAATCTATGGTCAACAATGTTTTTGTAGTTACAATACCAAAAATGTTTAAAAAAAATCTTGTTTAAAAGTATAGATATGAATGTTAATTTCAGATTTTATGTAAAATTGGATTTAAGTATTGTTTTTTTTTTTTTTTTTTTTTTTTTCATTTTGGAGATTTCATTGTCATGTCATGTTAATGACAATCAAATAATAAGTGACCTTGTTGGACAAAGAACAAGTAGAGCCTTGTTAAATTGTACTGCTTATATTTGTTTGTGGAAAAGAAAGGAAATGAACAGAATTTTTGTATTTATGTGAATATTGGAAATGGATGTTTTACTTTTTTGACATCTGTATATAGAGGAAGATGCCTGAAACACAGCTACTTTTACTATAGTAAAGTTATCTGAAACACATCAACTTTTCCAATAGAGAAGTTGTCTGAAATACAGCAACTTTACCTGTAGAAAAGTTGTCTGAAACAGAGCAACTTTTCCTACATAAAAATTACCTGTAACAGAGCAACTTCTCCTATAGAAATGTTGTATGAAAAGTTACCTCAAACAGAGCAACTTTTCCTATAGAAATGTTGTCTAAAAGAGAGATACTTTTCATATGGAAAAGTAGTCTGAAACCGAGCAAGTTTTCCTATAGAAAAGTTGTCAGAAACACAGCAACATTTCCTAAAGAAAAGTTTTCTGAAACAGAGTGACTTTTCCTATAGAAAAGTTGTCTGAAAGAGACCAACTTTTCCTATGTTGAAACAGAGCAACTATTCCTATAGAAAAGTTGTCTGAAACAGACCAAATTTTCCTATAGAAAAGTTGTCTGAAACAGAGCAACTTTTCATATAAAAATTTTGTCTGAAAGAGAGATACTTTTCCTATAGAAAAGTTGTCTGAAACAGAACAACTTTTCCTATAGAAAAGTTGTTTGAAACAGTGCAACTATTCCTATAGAAAAGTTGTTTGAAACAGATCAATCAGATTCCAATAGAAAAGTTGTCTGCAACAGATCAACTTTTCCTATAGAAAAGTTGTCTGAAAAAGGGCCACTTTTCCTATAGAAAAGTTGTCTGCAACAGATCAACTTTTCCTATAAAAAAAAGTTGTCTGAAAAAGAGCAACTTTTTCTATAAGTTGTCTGAAACAGAGCAACTTTTTCTATAGATAGTTATATCACACAGATCAACTTTTTCTATAGATAAGTTGTCCTATAGAAAAGTTGTCTGAAACAGACCAATTTTTCCTATAGAAAAGTTCTCCAAACAGATCAACTTTGCCTATAGAAAAATTGTCTGAAACAGAGCAACTTTTTCTATAGAAAAGTTGTCTGAAACAGAGCAACTTTTTGTATAGAAAAGTTGTTTAAAACAGAGCAACTTTTCCTATAGAAAATTGTCTGAAACAGAGCAACTTTTTCAATAGAAAATTGTCAGAAACAGAGCAACTTTTGTTATAGAAAAGTTGTCTTAAACAGAGCATCTTTTAGTACAAAAAGGTGTCTAAAACAGAGAAAATTTTTCTATAGAAAAGTTGTCAAAAACAGAGCAACCTTTTCTTCTAAAACAGAGCAACTTTTCCTACAGAAAAGTTGTCTGAAGCAAAGCAACTTTTCCTATAAAAATGTTGTTTGAAACACAGCAACTTTTCCTATAGAAAAGTTGTCTTGCAGGCCAGTTATCGTGAACAGAGCAAGTTTCCTATGGAAATATTGTCTGGAACGGAGCGGCGGAACAGTAACATAAATCAAATTAAAACTATAAGATATCACTATAACGCAAATTTCATTATAATTTCAATTTATGCAATCTTTATCTTAACAACTATACAATTTTATATTAAATGTTTAAACTTTATTGCAACGCTTTTTTTAATTTAAGTTTGCTAATTGCTATTTTAAAAGAAATTTTCACAATTCTATATAATATATATTCATAATTAATAAAACATTATAACTCATTTGAATTATACAAACTCATGCAAAAAAGTTATTGAAAAATAAAATTCTCTACACACTACACTCTATGCTTTTAGTACACATTTCCCTTTTGTTACAAAAAAAAAGCTTAATTTTAAGCCAGTTTTTCTCAATGTTTTACAAAAACTTTCTTTAAAAGAAATTTAAAAACAAATTTATAATTATTATTAAATTTCTCATTTACAGGAATGCAAAATTTGTCAATATCCTGCTCATTAGTGTGTCTGATAATATTGGGCAGTGCTGCTTTAGTGGGAGCCTTTGGTGTTTGTCAAAGACAAATAAGCGCCATATTGATAACAGGTGTTATGTATTTACTGGCAGGTAAATGTTATAATTTATTCCTTTTTATTTAGGTATTAATATTTACTAAAAACAATTTATTTACTTTTAGCCTTATTTGCTTTATTTACTCTAATGATAATACATTTTAAAAGACAACAAGGTCGACCCATGTTGGATAGTGACTATGATGGCACAGTAGATGGTATAGTGGCCAGACCGGGTGGTCCAGCCATAATGGCCAAACCACTTTTGGGAGCCCGTATATTTTTAACTTCTTGGAGTTTAGATTTGGGCTGGGGTGGTGTGGTATTATGTGCTATAACCTCTGTACTTTGGATATTGTTATCGAAAATAATGCGTTATAATCCCTTTTCCACTTTAATGATTTAGGTCAAATTAAATAAACCCTTTACAAGTTAGTATTAAAAACAATATTTCATAATTAACACGGTACCTAACAACAAACAAACAAAAAACTTATTGTAATACTTTAATATAAAATGTATATTTTTTATTAAACAAGTATTTTTCCAATTAAGTTTGTAGCTTATTTTTGTTTTAGTATTTTTCTTCTGAAAACCAATTCATAATTAAAGTTTGAAATAAAAGTACCTTGAAAATAAACTAAAAACAAACAAAAAAAAAAATGGGAATAAATTTAAGCTTTTAAAACAAAAATTGTTGAATAAATTAAAATTGTATTAAGCAGTACTTGTAGAACAAATTATGAAAAACCAAAAAATGGCAACAAAACACAAGATTTAAATAAAAAGTAGCCTGATACTAAAAATAGTAATTATATTGTAAAAAAATTTAAACACTTTTCAATAGCAAATTAAAGGAAAAAACAAAAAAAAGTATTTTATACAAAATTAGTTTTTGAAAACAAAAAGAAAGAAATATAAGCATTTTTAATTATATAAATTATGAAATATTGCATCAATTAGAAATCTAAAATTTATGTATAATTAAACAAAAACAAAGTATATAACAAAAAAAAACACAGAACAGAACCAATTTATGCTTAATTAACTTTTGGATAATATGTATATTTATTATAAATTTATCATTCATTTGCAATACTATCTTGACTCCTTGATAAAAATTGGGTTAAAATAAACAAAAGCATTTTATAAAATTTGTCAACATTTCGATTATTTTAATGTTTCAATAAAATCTCTACAATGATCTGAAACTGATGAACTTTTACTATAGAAAAGTAATCTTTTACTATAGAAAAGTGATCTGAAACAGATCAACCATTCCTATAGAAAAGATAGCTGAAACAGATCAACTTTTCTATAGAAAAGTGATCTGAAACAGCTCAACTTTTCTATAGAAAAGTGATCTGAAACAGATCAACTATTCCTATAGAAAAGTGATCTGAAACAGATCAACTATTCCTATAGAAAAGTTAGCTAAAACAGATCAACTTTTCTATAGAAAAGTGATCTGAAACAGATCAGCTATTCCTATAGAAAAGTTAGCTGAAACAGATCAACTTTTCTATAGAAAAGTGATCTAAAAAAAGCTCAACTTTTCCTATAGAAAAGTGATCTGAAACAGCTCAACTTTTCCTATAGAAAAGTGATTTGAAACAGATCAGCTTTTTTGATAGAAAAGTGATCTGAAACAAATCAACTTTTTCTATAGAAAAGTGATCTGAAACAGCTCAACTTTTCCTATAGAAAAGTGATCTGAAACAGCTCAACTTTTCCTATAGAAAAGTGATCTGAAACAGCTCAACTTTTCCTATAGAAAAGTGATCTGAAACAGCTCATCTTTTCCTATAGAATAGTGATCTGAAACAGCTCAACTTTTCCTATAGAAAAGTGATCTGAAACAGCTCAACTTTTCCTATAGAAAAGTGATCTGAAACAGTTCACCTTTTCTTATAGAAAAGTGATTTGAAACAGCTTAACTTTTCCTATTAAAACCTTATCTGAAAAAGCTTAACTTTTCCTATAGAAAAGTGATCTGAAACAGCTCAACTTTTCCTATAGAAAAGTGATTTGAAACAGCTCAACTTTTCCTATAGGAAAGTAATCTGAAATAGTTCAACTTTTCCTATAGAAAAGTAATCTGAAACAAATCAACTTTTTCGATACAAAAGATGTCTGAAACAGATCAACTTTTTTGATAGAAAAGTGATTTGAAATAGATCAATTTTTCTAATACAACTTACCAGAAACAAATCTACTTTTCTTATAGGAAATTACAAATTACCACCTAAATGTTAATACAATGATAAAAGCGACTTAAATGTAATTGACTAAATTTCCTCCATTAATACCCAGAAATTCATTTAATTTTTTCTATCAATCGAATGTTTTACAATTTCATTTTCATAACAACCAATCACTTAATCAAATACAAAAAAAAAATGCCTTGAATATAAATTTTGTTTTAAGCCTCCGTTATAAAAAATACAAAGAAAATGACACAAGAAAGTAAAATACAAAAATTTAACTTAAGATAACATTAATTTCCCAAAATAATCTCTCAAACTCCCTAAGAAATGTTATATTTATAGTAAATTTTTTTGCCTTTTCTATACTAAATATAAATATATTTATATCTGTATGTATTAACTATTCTCTAGTTATTAGAATACTTATGTTTGCTTAAAGCTCTAAATTTATTTTTGTTAAACAAGCTTAAATTTATTAAGAAGAAAACAAAAACCCCTCACACAAAATTGTCAAAAAAGAAAAAAATCAAATGGCCTTCATTTTCTAAAGAAAAACAAAATAAAAAGAAAATCTATTTTATCACTAAATAATACTTATTATTACTACTCGTACTCTCTTAAATTATAAAACCAAAAAAAAACAAACTTAACTATTCACTGTGTTTAATAAAACATAAATAAATTTACATAATCCTTAAATGAAAATATGTTAAATAAAATAAAAAAATAAAAAAAACTTAATTAAGCTTAAGTATAAATTCTATATACAAAATACACCAATAAGAAAAAAAAAGAATAAACAAATAAATGTTATTAATTATTTAAATATTGTTTATTGTTTTTTACTACTAAATCGAACAGTTTTAATTTCAAATCAGTTTTTTAACTTCATTTATATTTTTGATTTTAATTATTACAAATTATAATCAATATTATGGAAATTACATAAAAAACTAAAATTGCAATGCTTTTATTGCTTTTAAATTACACATTATTTACATGAAATATTTAATATAACAAAACAACAAATGGAAAAATTATATTAATATTAAATTAAAGAAATGTATTTTTATGTAAACGCTTTGCCTTAAGAAATAAATAAAAAACCAAAAACAAAATTAAGAAAACAAAACCAAGAAATATGTTTAAAATTATCTTTTGAATAAAAACTGAAATAAATTTCATTTAAAGCTAAATTAAGAAGAGTTGTTTTATTTAAAAATAATTAAGAAAAGAGTTTGAGAAACAAATTAAAGAAACTAACCTCGGCAAAACGTCTATATGGGTTATAAACCCTTGGGAACCCCATTCCTCACTCCTCTTTTCATTTAGGTTCTTTTTGTTTCTCTATCTTTGGATCTTAACATTCTACGATGTGAATCAAAGTGGACCTTAAGGTCTCCGTAGATCTTTTAACAAGACTTAGATATCAGGAAACTAATCTCTAATATAAATAAATTTAAGAACTCAGAGCGAAACGAAAATCTTGAAAAGCCTTCTGTATAATCCCCTTCTTTCCCTAGCTACATACAAATAATGGACGGCGGTTGAAACTATGGTAGTCTGGACACCTTAAAGTTCCTCCTGAACATTCACTTTCCCGGTTGTATCTCCATAGAAGAGAGAGAGAGAGAGAGAACTAAGTAAATTCTCCCAAAAATGCAGAGTATACGGAAATACCTATACCGATTGGTGATCCCTGAAGATCTTCAGTACAATATAGATCTTGATGTTACATGGCTACGTAAAATATATAAAGCCGGACTCTCTTGCACCAAGTGTAGTGTGATATTTATTCCTTAAGCGAAAGACTAATCAGCCTTGCGTCCTTTCTGCTAAAAAAATCGAAAGGATAATCGATATCTATCATAATCTTCTTCTATCCCTAGCAACATTTAGATAGTGGACGGCAGTTGAACATTAGGTAGTCTGGAGATCTTAGAGCTTCTCCGGAACACTCACTTTCACGGTCGTCTCTCCATAGGAGCGTCAACTAAGTAAATTCTCTCAAAATGCAGTGTTTACTGAAATATACGTACCGATTTGTGATCCCTGCAGATCTACAATACAATATAGATCTTGCTGTTTCATGGCTATGTATATAAAAGTCACTCTTGGACCAAGCGTATTGTGTTCTTTATTCCTAAAGCGAAAGTCTACTCAGTCTTGCATCCTTTCTGCTAAAAACTTTGGAATGGATAATCGATATCTACATAAGGATCTCGATTGGTGAATACTTTTTCTCAACATCGAATACGAGGTACTCCACAGGATGGCGCACTATTCCCACTGTTATGGAGTATGGCCATTAATGGTCAATTAGTAGAACTATACGGTTCCCTATGCCGATAATTTAGCGGTAGCAGTAACTGGCGAAACATTGTCTCAAAAATTAGAACAATCTCTTAAAATAATGATCTCATGGAACTTTTACCGTGGTTTTAGTGTAAATCCGCAAAACGGAACTTGTATTACATATTTCTCGGTTTAATGGCGACGTATTTAAGCTTTTGGATAACACAATCAAAAGCCATAACGACGCTATATATTTGCAGAAAGACCAATGGAACATGCTGGAGTATCAACACAACAAATGTTAATTGGCTATTAAGGCTGTTATTAAACCAATAATGCTGTATGGGGTAGTTGTCTGGTGACATGAGCTTAAAAAGGCTTCATACAGACAAGAAATCTTTTGCATATCTCATTACCAATACCCTAAGAACTTCCACAAAGGCATTGTTTATATTATATATTCTAGCCAAACAAATGGCAATATGCACTGCTGTCAGATTGACTTTAACTGGCAAATGAAACGCCAGTCCACAAAATGCCGTTGATTGTTACTGAAAGAATCCCCATTTCCGTTAAAAAATTATTTTCGTGTATATCTAGACTTGTACATCATTGCCGGACGTCTTTCAATCAATTTTGTGGAGTTCAACTACCTGCAATAAAAATACAGATCATAGACATCTGCTATTCCGTTGGTCTAGTAAGGGCGATTACGTTGAACTACCCAGCAGTTCGACAATGAGTCAATGCATCCGAAAAACGCGTAACCACCCGATTAGCTCAAATTCGTCATTCGTCACGAATGTACTTTTTGTAAATGAGGGTAAGGACACTCGTCACTTTAGTGTCTCCTTTGTAAGCAAACTTGAGCTTTTTGTCTAAGGGGTGACTATTGACATATTCGTAGGACCACCTAAGCAGTCGGTGGCTAGGCGTGATCCCAAATGGTAAGTAAAAAAGGTAGTTAGAGACTTTCCGAGCAAACTGCTGGAACCTACCTTCTTCGTATTCAAAGATTAGAACTAAGTAATCTGGTATCGGTCATTAATGGTCTCTGCAAATTTGGTAGTCATGCTGGACGCATTGGGATTTTTCTTAAAAAGGAGAACCCTAATGGAGAACCATCAAAATACAAAGCTGATCTTGTGACAAATGGATTTCTACAAAAGTATGAGGTCGAATATATATGTATATATACATTATTGCATTTTGACATTTAGAATGGGAAACCCTTTTTATAGAGTTTTCATAATTAATATTTCAACATAATTTTAAATTGAAAACAACTTAATTTAAATGTAAACATCAAAGGGTTAATACCACAAGTCTTCGATCGTTGAAATGTAAATACATGCATATTGTATGTATGTTTCTCCAAAAAAAAATGGAATAATGTCAAATGAGTTTATTTCAAATAAATGGAATTTAAGAAGAGATCAAAACGTGTTTAACGCAAAAAATAAATATGCAAGGGACATTAATACATATTATAACAATTACCAAGAGAAAAAAAATACAACAAAAGTTCAATAACATTAAAGTAAATATGTAGGTAGAATGTGAAAATTATAATATGAAAATAAAAAACTCATTTTATTTATTTAATTTACATGCATGCATGGTTTCTTTGTACTGACATATGATTTAGCAAAAATGTTAAAAAAAATTACTTTTAAATCGGTATACTAGTAAACTACATATCAAAATTTTCAATACAAAACTATAGTAAAATTTAGCAAAAGAACTGGCAACCTTATTTTAAAATTTCATTAATAAAATTTTAACACTAAAAGAAATGGCGCAAAATAAAACTAATGACACACACTGTAAACTGTTTGGTTTCTTTTTGTGCTTTTTTCTGTTAAACATTTTCCCTGTTAATGCAGTAATCCCCTTGGTTAATACATAAATATATTTAATACATAATAATTTTATAATAAATAAACAAGTACTTGTAGCAGAAATTAAATAAAACAAGCCACAAAAAGTTCATTCAACTTAAATACACAAAATAAATCGAGTATTCAGTCCGTAGACATCATCAGTATTTGCAATTGAAATTCTGCCTGCAACGAGCTTCCCCATTTACTTTATCGAGTATAAAAAGTTTAGCAAAAATAAAATCATTTCTTACACAATTCCTGTTTTTTTAGTTGCCCCGGTATAATAATAAAACATTTTTAACTTACCTGGGTTAACAAGTTTTATAGTTTTCTTTTTATTTATTTAATTATTTTATTAATTATTAACTTTTTTCCTGCAACGATTCACTTTTTTACTTCAACTGTATTCACAAAATTTTTGCAATGGAATGCAAAAATATTTTTTTGCGATAAAAAAACACAACTGAAATGTGCCGCAACTTTTTTTGTCAAAACAATGTTTAACATTTGGTCTCTTTCCCTCGTATAATACCGGCGCTTAAATATTATGTGTGAAAGAGTAAGCTATAGAAATGGCGTAATTCGCGCGTTGTCAAACACAGTTGAAGAAAACCAACACAGCAGAGATGTATAAAGTTATACATTCGAAAATAGGTATATTTGAAGAAACTCCTCTACAAACCTAAACGACTAAAATTGCAAATAATTTCTAAAATACAGATCAGATCGCAGAAGTTTTGATGTCATTTTAAAGGTATTTCAGTAGGAATTATAATATACTATTCTTTTTTTACACAAAACTTTCACAGCAGCAATAATTTGAAGTTTTATTTCTATAATAGAAAATTGAAAAGCAACTTCGCTTACTAATTCCTTTCTTAATAAAATAACCAAGCGAAAATGGAGATAAATAATGATTATTATCAGTGTTCAATAGGATTATTTATATATAGAACTTTCAATTTAAAATATTTTTGATACTGAAAAACTAATTTTCCATCCTTGAAAAGGGTTATTTCTTTGACAAAACAACTGCAGTGTTGCATAAAAAGGTACCTTTTATGGGAGCCTTTTTTTGGGGTTTTGGAATCAATTTTTTGTCATAAAAAGTCAAAATTGACTAATTTGATCAAAGATTCGGCAAATTGACTATCTGTAAAAAACGACTACACTATATACCATATTAAAGTCCAGACTATATATATGTACTAGACTTAAGGACAGACTATAGACTAAACTATAGTTCAGACTTTAGACTATAACATAGTCCAGACTGTGGACTAGACTTAACACTAGACTATAGACTAGACTATAGACTAGACTATAGACTAGACTATAGACTAGACTATAGACTAGACTATAGACTAGACTATAGACTAGACTATAGACTAGACTATAGACTAGACTATAGACTAGACTATAGACTAGACTATAGACTAGACTATAGACTAGACTATAGACTAGACTATAGACTAGACTATAGACTAGACTATAGACTAGACTATAGACTAGACTATAGACCAGACTATAGACTAGACTATAAACTAGACTATAGACTAGACTATAGACTGAACTATAGATTAGACTATATACTAGACTGTAGACTAGACTAAATACAAGACTATATACAATACTATAGACTTGACTGTTGAATAGACTATAGACTAAACTATAGTTTAGGTTATATACTAGACTAGTGCGGGCTATTGACTAGACTATATTCCAGGCTATAGACTAGACTATAGGATAGGCTATAGAATATACTAAATAAATAGAATAGTTTTTATAGGTTCATTAGAATTGGGTTTATAGTAATCAACTTTCGAACAATCAAGTTTAAAAAAAAATGGTCGAAGTCGACTATTTTTATCAAATATTCGGTAAATCGGCTACCTAAAGGAAAATAGTTCAAATGTCGTCCTTGTAATTAAAATTTGTCATTCAATCCAAGTAAACACAATACGCATTTTAAATAATAACGGTTTCGTCCTTTTAAGCAAATGTCTGGCAACATTCTACTTAAAACAACATGAGGTGAATTTTTCACAACAGCTGACTAGTGTTATGCAAACGGGTTGTCAAAATTTTGACAATGCTTTTTTAATCCAAAAAAAACGAAAATTGTTAGTTTTGGGAGATTTTAATTGAAAATTAATAAATTAAAAAACATGTCATTATTAAATGCATTCTCAAGGTAAGTTTTATTAATGTAAATCCTACTATTTCACTGAAAAAAGAAAACATTTATATTTAGATTAACATTACAAACAACAGCAGTGCTGAGACAACCCAATGCCTGGCTGCACTCCACACCGGTCTTGTGTGCTGAACCATTGAAGAAAAAGAAGAAATTGGATCCACAAATTATTAAACAACGTGAAGACAGACGTAAGAAGAAATTGGAAAAACAAATTAGACGTTTGGAAAAGAATGCCAGGCAATTGAAGCCGGTGGAAGAACTTGAGGTTCCCTTAGATTTGATTGATGAACAAAAGTGAGTTAAATAGACAAATTTTCTTTTCTAAAACTTTTAATGTAAAATATATTACTCTTCAGACAACGTGCCCGCAAATTAGCTCCTCTAACAGAAACCGAACTAGAGCACAGAGCCCATTTGAATAAACAATGGGCCCGTTACAAGCATGAGCAGAAAATACAAGATTTTCAAATTATTGATCGTTTAATGCAATCACAACGTAAAGCTTTGCAGGAATTACGTTTGGAATCAGAAGAATTATATCAAGAGGCCATACAACCAGATATGTCTCTATTACCCATTACAGTCAAGGGTCCCGTTGCTACACCACCTATTAAGGATTATGTTTCACCTGATGGTGAATACATTTTGGAAACTAAACAGTGGGATTAATGTAATTTTCCGTTTTTCCTGTTATAATGAAATCCTAAGGTACTAAAATGTTTATATTATAATGTTGGTTTTTTTCGTTAGAAATATTCCAATAAAATAGAAAAATTTTCAAAGAGTATCTAAATGGATATTTTAATTAGAAGAAATTTTTATGAAAATATAAATAACAAAATAAGAAAGGATAATGTTATGCAAAAAAGACAAATTTTCTAAATTTTTCTATAAAAATGATAAAATTTCTAAAAGGAAATTTTTCTATAAAAAATAAAAACAGAAAAATTTAGACTAGACTATAAACTAGACTAGACTATACTATAGACTAGACTATAGATTAGACTATAGGCTAGAGTATAGACTATGGGCTATAGTATAGACTAGACAATAGACAAGACTATAGACTAGACTATAGACTAGACTATAGACTAGACTATGGACTAGACTATAGACTAGACTATACACTAGACTATAGACTAGACTATAGACTAGACTATAGACTAGACTATTGACTAGACTATAGACTAGACTATTGACTAGACTATAGACTAGACTATAAACTAGACTATAGACTAGACTATAGACTAGACTATAGACTAGACTATAGACTAGACTATAGACTAGACTATAGACTAGACTATAGACTAGACTATAGACTAGACTATAGACTAGACTATAGACTAGACTATAGACTAGACTATAGACTAGACTATAGACTAGACTATAGACTAGACTATAGACTAGACTGTAGACTAGACTATAGACTATACTATAGACTAAACTATAGACTATAGACTAGACTATAGATTAGACTATAGACTAGACTATAGATTAGACTATAGACTAGACTATAGACTAGACTATAGACTAGACTGTAGACTAGACTATAGACTATACTATAGACTAAACTATAGACTATACTATAGACTAGACTATAGACTAGACTATAGACTAGACTATAGACTAGGCTATAGACTAGACAATAGACTAGACTATGGGCTAGACTATAGACTAGACTATAGACTAGACTATAGACTAGACTATAGATTAGACTATAGACTAGACTAGGCTATAGACTAAACTAGACTATAGACTAAACTATAGACTAGACTAGACTATAGACTAGACTATAGAATAGACTATAGACTAGACTATAGACTAGACTATAGACTAGACTATAGACTAGACTATAGACTAGACTATAGACTAGACTATAGACTAGACTATAGACTAGACAATAGACTAGACTATAGACTAGACTATAGACTAGACTATAGACTAGACTATAGACTAGACTATAGACTAGACTATAGACTAGACTATAGACTAGACTATAGACTAGACTATAGACTAGACTAGACAATGGGCTAGACTAGACTATAGACTAGACAATGGGCTAGACTAGACTATGGACTAGACTATAGACTACACTATAAACTAGGCTATAGACTAGACAATAGACTAGACTATGGGCTAGACTATAGACTAGACTATAGGCTAGACTATAGACTAGACATAGACTAGACTATAAACTAGACTAGTCTAGTCTATAAACTAGACTAGTCTAGTCTATAAACTAGACTAGTCTAGTCTATAGACTAGACTATAGACCAGATTATAGACTAGACTATAAACTAAACTATAGTCTAGACTATTGCGCAGACTATAAACTACTTACACTATATTCCACACTATAGACTAGGTTATAGTCCAGACTATGGACAAGAGATAAGACCATAATTACTAAACTCGTAAAATTGTTGTAAAAAAAGCAGAAATTTCACTTTCATTTTTAATAGGAAAGAATTTATTCTAATGTACTTGTCTCATGGGGCAACTTGAAATCCAATGTCAATGCCTTTCAATGTTGCTTTTCAGTCAAGGTAATGTATGATGATGAATACTATGAACGTCTCTTAAAGACATTTGTTAACAAAAACTAATAGACAGACTATGGAAGTGATACTAAATGAGCAATTGTCTATTTACACCATTTACAAAAATACAATAGGAATACCTGAAGTACTTCTTTTGGCATATTATTTAATTAATGAAAACAAATTATTGCTTAAATTTAAGAAGTTACACTCCATCAGAAAACTTTCTTAATTACAACATGTTACCTTTTTATACGACTATTTCAGTTGGAAATGGTGTAATAATAGAAAACCTCTGCAATATCTCTGGGACAAATTTCTATTGTTTTCCATTTTGCATATTTGTTTTTGACCCTTATACGAGTACACATTTCATATTTATCTCTATTTGAAAATCTTATTCAATACATTGCGGTTGTGTCAAGTAGAAAAATATGGATTATTTTTGATTTAAAATCTAAATAATATACATATATACGGTTGTGCTTTTGCTTTTTTTGGGCCCTTTTAAAGAAGAAAAGAGCATATTCAATAAATGCCCACATTAGTTCTCCAGCAACGGTCATTTGAAACACATCGGCTTTATTATTAGTTATTGTATTTACATTTCTATATTATGTCACTGCAATTGCAAATTGATAAACTTAAGGGTTTAGACAATTATAAAGCTTGGTCCATGACGGTGCGTGCCTATCTGGAAGTCGAAGATTTATGGAATACTGTAGAGAATGGTCCGGATGGTAGTGAAGAGGTAGGTTAACTTTCACATTCTTCAAATTACCAGGGTTTAAAAAAATATCTGTGTCATTAAAGAAAAAGGCAAATATTTGAAATCTCTCTTCAAGAATTTTGTACCTTTTTCTTGTAGTCACAGACCTAGTTTTAATCATAACCTACAATTATCTTTAGTATTTGAAATATTTCTTCATTTTTCATTTCCAGAGCCTTCAAAAAGATAAACGTGCCAAATTTATTATATTGTGTTTAATTGAACAGAAACTGTGTCAGTTTATGGTCAGTATACGTACAGCTAAGGATTTGTGGGCCTATTTGAAAAAACAACATTCGTTACGGTGAACATTTTTTTTTAATGAACTAAATAAAATCTAATAATATTTTAATAAAAAAAAACTATATAAACATAATGTTTTTGTTTAATATTTGGTGACAAAAAGGGAGGATATTAAAATTCTTGGGATAAATGGAACCAAATCTGAAAATAAAATCTGTCGACTTTAAAATAAAGGTGAAATCTCCTTTATATCTTCTTCTTTTAAAGGAAGAAGAAACCTTTACTTCAAAGCCGAGATGTTGAACTTTCATATGATACAATTGTTGTCATAACGTCTCAAATATGACTAAATATGGAGTTTTTCAATTTTAAGGGAACGATATGCATCGATGGTGATCTTTTTTCCTTTAGAAAAGTGTACTTTGGTCACTGGATTTCGTCTTTTTTTCAAATTTTGTTGGCTTGTGTTATTAAAAGGGGCAAATCGTTTAATCAGAATCAGATGTGAGAGTGGATCTGAAATTAAATTTTAGCCTCTAACCTAAGTGGTGGACTATGTAACTTAGAATTCAAAGGTCGACTGTTAGGAAATTGTTCATCAGTTACGCTCAAAATGCCTAACTTCTAAAGCTATTTGATTCAAAAGGCAGGAAGATCATGGCCTATGCAGATGAAATATTGTTACTGATCAAAGGAATATAGTTATCTACGATCACTCACATCATGGCGACTGCACTAGGTGAGCTCTTGATATGGGCGAAAGCTAAAGGACTGGGCTTTAATCCTGGGAAAACTTAACTGGTATTATTTAACTAAAGGTATAAGGTTAACAACTTTAGGCTACCAATGTTAGATGGGAGCTAAGTATTTGGGAACTTTCTTTAATAGTAAGCTTTCATTAAAGGAAAATACTTAGGAAAGGATAAAAAAGGGACTCAATGCCTAAAACACATGCAAGAATTCTATAAGAAAGAATTGAGGCCTGCAAACAGATATGGTAAATCGGATTTACACGTCGGTTGTTAGGCCTAATCTAACTTACTGGCCTTGAGAAAGGACATTTTTCGGAAAAAGCTCAAAGGTGTTATTATCTTTGTATAACTTGCGTTGGTGTAGCGGCTTGAAATATTAGAGACTCTATTAGTCTTCGTTAGTCAAACCTTCGCGAGACAATTTACAGCTAGGTACGATTGGCTTGTATTCGGTAGACTGTTTGATGGGTGTGCAGTTTTTACCGACGAGTCAAATATGGATAGCGGCACGGGTGCCCTTGTCTATTTCGCTAATGTCGATATAAAAAGGTGCTTCAAACTCCCTGACGGATGTAGTGTCTTCCTAGAAGAGATTCTAGCGATCTGGAAAGCGACGGAAATGAATCATATCGATTTAGGGTCGTCGATTTTGACAATTTATGTCGATAGACAAAGCTGCTGTAAAGAGCAATGGCATGTTATGCGGTATATTTGCAACTGGAAATGAAGTTGCGCGACGAAATATGTAGATTAGGTTCGAACCTTGATATAGGTGATAGAGATAAAAGAGTGAAACCTCTTATCTGTCACTATTATATAATCGATGATACCTTCAACCAGTCCTGAAAAAGTAGAATGGATTGCAAAATATCAAGTGCCTTATGGCCAGCACTTGATGTATGGGCAATCAAGATACTAATAGGACTTCTTAGGATTCTGACAGGGATCGGAACAGGGCATTGCTCAATTAGGGCATTTGTCAGTAAGTGGAACAGAAATACACCGGATTATTGCAGGATATGCAAAGAAGCAGAGGAACTAGAGATAATTAAGCACTTAACCGTTCTAGAACTCAAAGTCTCAGATTGAAATGGTTGGGATATAGGTTCTTTACCGAACTGTGTGGAAATTGCGGAACTCAGAACTAGCAGTCTAATAGTTTTTATTGGGGGAATTAGTCATTTCTTCGATTAGGTTTTATAAGAAGACTCAGATTCTCTCACAATTCCTTCATGGGGAATCGATTTGTTAAAACTTTCAGGTTGAAATCCCTAGGGAATTTCTCTCTCTACCCTCTACTTATGCTTATCGTTTGTTTTCATCTATTTCTTTGAAGAAATATTTTCAGTAAAATTTATATCGCAGAAGTGGCCATCAAAATCTCCTTTCAAGACAACTTTAAGATTGATAGTAATGAGTATAGTCCCTCTATATATTTATGTTTTTTAATAGGGTATTTCAGATTCGTCATTTGTTTTATAACAATTTCATAATCAACATATTTTGTTTTCAAAACACACAACCCCTTCCTTTAACGCTCAGTTTTCTAGTCCATTTTGCAAATTCTTTCAACATTCTACTGCTACGTTGTCTGTTCCCTGGTTTCATATTTATTTAGTTTATATTTTCCTCGTCTCATAACTAACATGTTGTTAAAACTTGTTAAATAAAATTTGCGAAAAAAAATAAAATGTCTTTAATAATCAAAATCGACAAATTAAGAGGTCGAGAAAATTACAATGGTTGGTCGAAAAAAGTGCGTATGTATTTGATAGCGGAGGGTCTATGGAGTACGGTTAGTTCGGTAAACTCGTTAAATGAAAAGGTGGGTGGTTTATTATATAAAAAATATGTAATAAAATATATATTTTATGTGTTTTCCAGAAAAACAAACGTGTTAAATTTATTTTATTGTGTTTAATTGATTATGGTTTATTTGAATTTATTGAACCGGATGCTACACCACATGCAATATGGATGGCATTGCAAAAACATTGCACTGAAGCGGAAACAAAGTAAAATTTGCGAGTGAAAAGAATTGAAAATCAAAATTGTTTTAAAATTATAAAAAAATCATATTCATATTAAATTAAACTAAATAAAGTAGATTGTTTTAAGGAAATTTCTGTATAAAAAAGTAATTATGTGGGTGTAAAATAACAGAGATTTAAAGGTACTAAAACTTTATAGAAGTTTATTTTGTTTAAAACCATAAAACTGTTTTTTTTTCAGGGAGTTCTACAAAATATCTTAAGGTCATTTATTGACACTTTAAATTTGTTATTTAAAAAGTTTAAATCAAACAATTAATTCTTTAATTGTTATTTTATTAAAATTGAATGTTGTCTAATTAAGTAGTGTTATTGGATCCGATTATGGCCTTTGGCTAGGATTCTGTATAAGAATGAATAAACTAAACTAAACTAAACTAAACTAAAAGGACGCCTGACGCCTCAATTATAATCATAACAAACTATACATTTCTTTTAACCACTCATTAGTAAGACACATTCCAGTGAGAGCAAATAACTATCATACACTTTGTCTCATCACTTTGACTTGGTTTGGCAAAAACGTCATTACACTGAAGCAGACCAATACTAAACGGCAAGAAGACAACACATAGCAAAAAATGTCTTTTGACTTTCAAGTAGACAATTTAAAAGGTCGACAAAATTACAATGAATGGTCAAGAAAGTTAAGGTCTTATTTGGTGGCTGAAGGTTTATGGCATATAGTGCGTAACGGCAGCTCAACGGATGTAGTGGTAATCTTAAAAAAACTAAAAATAAAAACCTAAAAGAGAAAAAGTTTAAATAAAATGTTATTATAATAATTTTAGAAAATCAAACGTGTTAAATACTTAATAATCTGTTCCATAGAAGATGATTTATTGGAAACTATAGATCCGGATGCTACACCAAATGCCATATGGTTAGCTATACAAAAACAGTGTACTACAACGGCCACCTAAAGGTTAATTAATTTGCAAATTATTATTCCATAAGTTTAGATTTTATTGTTGTGTGTTTTCCCATTTTATTACAAAAAAATTATTATTTATAGTCTTTATAGCGAAACAAAAAAAGTACAATTGTCAAACATTGTTTTTTGTTGGTTAATTGTAAATTTAAACTTATTACTGAAATTACAAAACTAATATTGTAAACTACGTTTTGTACAGATATCATCTAAAATTTGTCTTAATTCTTCATCTTCGAAACGTCCCTCTAGAGATGGTATTAAAGCTTTAGCTTCTTCCGGTGCCTCTGGACATAAATTACCTAAAGCGGCCAATTCAAATTTATGCAATTTCTTTTGCATTAATAAACTGTAAAAGAAAATGAGAAAATAAAAATAAATAAATCGATAAATATTTTACAGTGTTTTTATGTGTAAGTTGAGCTTTGTGTAAAGTGAAATTTTTTAGTAAATTTCGAGTTTTTGTGTTATATTTTACTTTTAAGTTTGTTTTGAGTAAAAACAGTATTTTTGTCTAAAAACTCAGTTTTTGTGTAAGAACTCAGTTTTTGTGTAAAAACTAAAGTTTTGTGTAAAAACCTAGATTTTGTGCAAAAACCAGTTTTTGTGTAAAATCAGAGATTTTATGTAAAAATAGGCTTTTGTGAAGAAACTGAGTTTTTGTGTAAAAACAGAGATTTTATTAAAAACTGAGTTTTTGTGTTAAAACTGAGTTTTTGTGTATAAACCGTACTTTCGTGTTTGTGTGAAAACTTATTTTTTTGTAAAACTGTTGAAAATTTTGTTTAAAACAATATTTTCTATAGAAATTTTTGTGTATAACATTTTTTCTATAGAAAATTTTGTGTATAACAGTTTTTTTCTATAGGAAATTTTGTGTATAACAGTTTTTTTCTATAGACTATTTTGTGTATAAAAGTACATATTTTCTATATAAACTTTTGTGTATAACACTATTTCCTATAAAAATTGTGGATAAAATAGATTTTTTCTATAGGTACTTTTGTGTATAACAGTTTTCTTTATAGAAAATTTTTTGTATAACAGATTTCTCTATAGAAAATTTTGTGTATGACAGTATTTTTTTATAGAAAATTGAGTATAACAGTTTTCTCTATAGAAAATTTTGTGTATAACAGTATTTTCTATAAAAAATTTTGTGTATAACAGTTTTCTCTAAAGAACATTTTGTGTATAATAGTATTTTCTATAGAAACTTTTGAGTATAACAGTATTTTCTATAGAAAAATGTGTGTATAACAGTATTTTTCATAGAAAATTTTGTGTATATCAGTTTTCTCTCCTGAAAATTTTGCGTATAATACTATTTTCTATAGGAAATTTTGTGCTTAACAGTATTTTCTATATAAAATTTTGTGTAAAACAGTATTTTTATAGAAAATTTTGTGTATAACAGTTTTCTCTACAGAAAATTTTGTTTATAACAGTTTTTTTCTACAGAAAATTTTGTGTATAACACTATTATCTATAAAAAGTTTTGTGTATAACAGTATTTTCTATAAAAAACTTTGTGTATAACAGTTTTCTCTACTGAAAATTTTGTGCATAACAGTATTTTCTATAGGAAATTTTGAGCATTACAGTATTTTCTACAGAAAATTTTGTGTATAACAGTTTTCTCTACTGACAATTTTGTGTATAACAGTTTTCTCTACTGAAAATTTTGTGCATAACACTATTTTCTATATAAAATGTTGTGTATAACAGTTTTCTCTATAGAAAATGTTGTATATAACAGTATTTTCTATAGAAAATATTGTGTATAACAGTATTTTCTATAGAAAATTTTGTGTATAACAGTATTTCTTATACAAAATTTTGTGTATAACAGTTTTCTCTACAGAAAACAGTACTCTACTGAAAATTTTGTGTATAACAGTATTTTCTATACGAAATTTTGTGTATAACAGTATTTTCTATATAAAATTTTGTGTATAACAGTTTTCTCTATAGAAAATTTTGTGTATAACAGTATTTTTTATAGAAAATTATGAGTATAACAGTTTTCATTACAGAAAATTGTGTGTATAATAGTTTTCTCTACAGAAAATTATGTGTATAACAGTATTTTCTATAGAAAATTTTGTGTATAACAGTTTTCTCTACCGAAAATTTCGTACATAACAGTATTTTCTATAAGAAATATTGTGATTAACAGTATTTTATATATAAAATTTTGTGTATAACAGTTTCTCTATAGAAAATGTTGTATATAACAGTATTTTCTACGGAAAATATTGTGTATAACTGTATTTTCTATAGAAAATTTTGTGTATAACAGTATTTTCTACGGAAAAAATTGTGTATAACAGTATTTTCTACAGAAAATTTTGTGTATAACAGCATTTTCTATAAGAAATTTCTATAGAAAATTGTTTAAAACATATTTTCTATAGAACATTTTTTGTATAACAGTTTTCTGTAAAGAAAATTTTGTGTAAAACAATATTTACTATAAAAAGTTTAGTGTATAAACGCATTTTCTATAGATAATTTGGTGTATAACAGCTATATAAAAAATCTGTTTTGTGTCTAAAAAACATGAGTATAACAGTTTTCTTTAAAGAAAATTTAATTTATAACAGTATTTTCTATTGAAAATTTTGTTTATATAACAGTTATCTCTATAAAAAATTGGTTATAACAATTTTTGAACAATTTGAAAACTCGAAATTACTTTCTTCTCAATCTCATTGAATATAATAAAAAAAATACAAATTTATATACCTTCTCACAGCAGCTATAGTTTCTTTATTTTTAAATTTACGAAAACTATCCGTATACGCATAGGTTTTCATAAATACTTCCGAAAATTCTTGTTCCTCATCGGCCGATTCATTTTGACGTTTACGATGATCCAACAGCATGTGTACTTCGGATATAAGTAAAGTTTCAGCATTTTCAAATTCTTAAAATGGTAATAAGAGAAAGAAAACAAATAATTTTTATAAAAAAAAATAAAAAAAACTTTAATATTTAATAATAACAAGCGCCTTTTTGTAAGAAAATTATGAAAAAAAAAAACGAGAAGAAATTTTAATAAATTTTCAATTAGGTTTATTAATATGGCCATGTTCTATAAGAAAATCATAAATTTGCCGTGTCTTATTAACATCGATTTTAATTAAACGTCGTGCATCGGCCAAACGTAAATGTCCCACTTTAGCATTTTCGGCCACCAGAATATTTTTATAATCTAAATAAGCTTGAGGCACTATACGTGCCACACTGCAGAGTTTACGTTCATCTTCACTAAGTTTAGCAAAACCGGGTAAACCTTTAAGAATATGTGAAAAAGAGAGATTTTTATTGAAGTTCTTGAAAAAAAAAAAAAATAAATAAAATAAAATTTAGTTTACCAAATACATCCATGGGAGCAGCTTTCTTACGCGGCAAAGCATTCGTGGTGGGTGCTATAAAATATGTACCACCTAGCGCCTCTAATGTTGTATTGGCATTTGGAATTAATTTACGCCAATCATATTGTGCACGTAAACGCTCATTTTTCACTTTTTCCCTTTGTTCGTGCAAACGTTTCTTTTTCAATTTAAAATATAAAGATCCACCAATCATGGTGCGTACACCATTTTGCCTTAGTTCATATAAGCTATAAGAAAATTTGGTATTAACATAAAAATTTTAAAAAAATTTTAATTTTTACTCACCGAAATATGGTTTTCTGTAAATCACTAAAATATTTTAAACCCTCCATTAGCAAATCAAATTGTATGGGTTCACACAATTGCATAAAAGCCAAAAAACGTTTACAATTCTGCTCGGAACGTAAAGCATCAGCATATTTAGTAATCCAACCCAAACAGCGGTTAGCCATTATTAAACCATGATCACGCATAATTTTATAGCGACGTTGACGTTCCCTAACCGAACAAAATGTACAAAATTAAAATCATAAAAACTGTAACCAAAACTAAAATACCTTAAACGATGATTATATGATCTTACTAAAGCTAATTTCAATTCCTCTACACATGCAGAAGTGTTTTCATCTACCGCTCCTTCTATGGCAGGTATATTGCGTACTGTATCTTCTGATTCTAATATGGTGGTTAAAATACTTTCGGCAGTTACATCGTAGGGTGTATCAAAGTCACCGCGGGCACTACGATAACCAGCCATCATTTTGAACTGCATAGAAGAGATGTCATCATGTCGGGGAGGATCTACTGAGCGCATTTTAACCACATAGGGCATATTTTCGGGCATATATGTTTGACTAGCATGCTGCAGACCCAATAAACGTTCAAATATGCCACCAAAATAGTTATCATGATAATGTTGGCGGCATTCTGCCACCGAATAACGATACTGTAATGCCTTGGACACTGCCTCCCAATTGCCATAACCTTGTGTTTGCAGGCTGTTTAATAAAATACGTTCATCTCTTGCTGTCCACTTGCCGGGGCCGGGAAATATTTGTATATCATCTTTGATGATAATATAGGCATGATTATTGTAATGTTTTATAGTTTCCCTGCCAGTGGCAAAGCACTGCAGACACAATTCTGCCGAGCAATCGGCACATTTTACATAAGGCTCTTGCAAAGCCAAATGGCAACAGGCACATTGATGATCATGACTACAAAGTTGCTTAAAGTCTTCGGCAGTAGTTGTATGTTCGATTTGCTGTTCCAAACGATGGTTAAATTGTTGCGGATTGTAAGAGGCCACCAAATATTTAGTGTCCGGTGTCACTAAAGCCTTAATAACTTTCTTTTTACATTTCTTTTTGGTCACCGGACGAGCTGTTTCATGTTAAAAGGCAATTTATTTAAAGAAAATCCTCAGCAAAAGGATTAAGTAAAAGTATTTAAAGTTTTTATAATAATTCTCAAAAAGGCGCTTGTTATTATTAATTAAACATGTTATATTCAACAAATTTTCCTTACCTTTGGGAAATTGCAAATCGGCAGCATCTTCCTCCACCATATCAACAGGATTCATGAAAGACATGTTGCTCGGTATTAAATGTGTTCGCTTGTAAAAATTAATAAATAAATTATATTTTTAACACAATAATTGTTGAATTTTAATACAAATTTTCACTTTTTCTCGAAAATTAGTACAACTTTTTAAGCGGCGTTTTGTTGTTGCTGTCTATAAAGTGTTGTCAACTATAATAATGTTTACAAATTTTAGAGCGTTTTGGTACTAGAAACATAAATTTTAAAATAATATAACATTTAATTAAAATTTATAGTAAAACTCCGATTATATTTCTAAAATAAACATATTTAAACAAATATTAATGGTTTTAACAATTAAAATAGCAAAAGCAAATAAAATATTCTTACTTTTAAATTATAATAATGCTAAGTTGACATTACTGTTAAAAATGACAACAAAATTATCGATAGCTGCTATTACAGGGTTGCATATAAAAAGTATCTGTTTATCTCAGCTGTTTAGCTATTGTGAATGATTTTTACGACATTTTGTTTGTGTAAACAAATTGAATGTCAAATACTATTCAATAATTGCTAAAAAAAAGAAAAATTATTACAAGATTCGAATTTAAAGTGTTTTATTTTTAACAAATTATAAAAATTTCAACCAAATCTTATTTATTAATTGTTTTTGTATAAATTTATTTAACAATTTGTGAGAGTTATACTTTAAATAAATGAAAAAATTGACGAAAGTTTTAAAGAGCTTGTTGCCATGTGTTAATTAAAAAGTCAACGTAGTTTTTAGTTGAAATTAATTAAATTGAGTTTAATTATCTTAAATTAAACAAATGTCTTTGGACTTGACGTTGTCTTTTGAATCGGAAGCTGTGAAAACTATCGACAATTTACCAAAATATTGTGATTTTGTAAGTTTTTGTTGGTGGAAGAATTGTGTTTGGAAGACGACTATCGTCTGTTGCACTATGGCAAATGCAGTGTAATTGGAAAGTTGCAAGTAGCTTCTGATGGTAATTTTTTATTGGAAAACGTTCGCATAACTAATTTGCCAAAGTAAGTGCATTTACGTTTCAAATAGTACATTGAAACGATTGCAAACTAGATGAAAAGATAGGTAGACAAATAGATAGATAGATAGATAGATAGATAGATAGATAGATAGATAGATAGATAGATAGATAGATAGATAGATAGATAGATAGATAGATAGATAGATAGATAGATAGATAGATAGATAGATAGATAGATAGATAGATAGATAGATAGATAGATAGATAGATAGATAGATAGATAGATAGATAGATAGATAGATAGATAGATAGATAGATAGATAGATAGATAGATAGATAGATAGATAGATAGATAGATAGATAGATAGATAGATAGATAGATAGATAGATAGATAGATAGATAGATAGATAGATAGATAGATAGATAGATAGATAGATAGATAGATAGATAGATAGATAGATAGATAGATAGATAGATAGATAGATAGATAGATAGATAGATAGATAGATAGATAGATAGATAGATAGATAGATAGATAGATAGATAGATAGATAGATAGATAGATAGATAGATAGATAGATAGATAGATAGATAGATAGATAGATAGATAGATAGATAGATAGATAGATAGATAGATAGATAGATAGATAGATAGATAGATAGATAGATAGATAGATAGATAGATAGATAGATAGATAGATAGATAGATAGATAGATAGATAGATAGATAGATAGATAGATAGATAGATAGATAGATAGATAGATAGATAGATAGATAGATAGATAGATAGATAGATAGATAGATAGATAGATAGATAGATAGATAGATAGATAGATAGATAGATAGATAGATAGATAGATAGATAGATAGATAGATAGATAGATAGATAGATAGATAGATAGATAGATAGATAGATAGATAGATAGATAGATAGATAGATAGATAGATAGATAGATAGGTAGTAGATAGATAGATAGATAGATAGATAGATAGATAGATAGATAGATAGATAGATAGATAGATAGATAGATAGATAGATAGATAGATAGATAGACAGACAGATAGATAGATAGCAGGATCGATCGAGTATGAATGATATTTACTGTACTTTCCAGATCTAATTTGTACCAGAACTACAATTATATTGAAAACTGAAAAATGTTTACTTTTAGGGAGGTTTAAAACTGACTAAAATTATGAATCTTAAATTTAAGTACTCATTCACACAACAAAAAAGTTTACATTAATAAAACACTCTGTTCTCAATTTCAGCGAATATTCACTACCCGAAGGCACGCTTAGTATACGACTATTAACCTTTTCATATTTTGGCACACAACTAATTAACAATAAGCACGTAGAAATTACCGGAGAATTAGTACTTTATAATACCAAAAATCCTCAATATAATCACTGTACACTTTTGACTTCCAAAGGTGTCATACAGCAATTAAACAATACAACAAATGAAGAGGAGTACAATAAACTATTGAAATATTTTAACGATACCTACAAACCAGCCATAAAAGTTTGGTTCGTACAACCGATCAATAGAGCTGGTGATTTAATACAACGTAATCTGGAATTAAGAATGTTACACAAATAATTACTCTAGAAAATGAGTCAATATTTTATAGAATCGAAAAGTAAACAACCGATATTTTTTAGTTTCAATAGAATTTTAGAAAACCAAGAGATTTTAGATTATGATTTGTTTATAAAAGATTTTCAAGAAAATTTTGAGCAAGAGCAACAAGATAATTGGTGTAAATATTGGAATAAACAGGGTGAAGAGCAAGTACTAAAGACATGGAATGAAAAGTACAAAGATTATTTGAAAACAGAACAGGAAAGTGAAGAGCAACAAGATCAAGAACAAGAAGAAAATTGTCCTAAAGAAGATAAGGAAACATTTGAAAAAGAAATTGAAACAGCAAATACATCTACATCAGCCGATATATTATTACCCGAAAAGTCGTGGGAAGATTTATGGCAAGAACATAGAGAAGAAATCTACTGTGAACAATATTTAATATTTACCACTATATATTACAATTATTTTTTGGATTTGAAAAAATCTTGTGAAACTCCCCAACCCATTGCCGAAGATCTAGAAGAAGTAGAAGAAGAGCAGGAGGAAGAAGCAGATTTGCTAAGCTCTCAGTCAAAACTAACAGAAGAATTGGAACAATTAAAAATTTTAGGTTTACCCACATCCTTCGGTGGCAGACCACAAAATTCTAGTAAAAAACAAAAACCCCGTAACAAAACCATACACTATAGTGATTATTTCTCAGATTCCGAAATGGATAATGATTCAAATGGTAGTGATTTTGAGGAATATGATAAAGAGCAGGATGCCAAAGAAATAGAGGAGGACTCATTACATGGTGTGCAAGAGAAACCCATTAGCAAGCAACAGAAGAAAAAAAGAAATCGTAAATTGAAAAATGTTCCCTCTTTTATCTTGGAAGAAAAGGGTCTTCTAAAGTATTGGCGTAAACGTTTCAGTCTCTTTTCACGTTTCGATGAGGGCATACAGCTGGATCGAGAAAGCTGGTTTTCTGTTACCCCAGAAAAAGTTGCCAAACATTTAGCCGAACGTCTTAAGTGCAGCATAATTGTCGATGGTTTTTGTGGCAGTGGGGGCAATGTCATACAGTTTGCCTTTACTTGCGATAAGGTTATAGCCATTGATATAGATCCCGTCAAATTGGAAATGGCTAAACATAATGCAGAAATTTATAAAGTTTCCCATAAAATCGAGTTTATTTTGGGTGATTTTCTTCAACTAGCAGCGGGGGGAAAACTTAAAGCTGACATTGTATTTTTAAGTCCTCCCTGGGGTGGTCCAAAATATAAAAATAAAAAAGAATTCGATATAGAGAAATATTTGTTACCCGTTAAAGCTTCCGAACTAGTAGCTACTTCCAGAAATGTTTCGGAAAATATAGGTTTATTTCTACCGCGCAATTCAAGTGTTAAACAAATTGTTAAACTTGCTGGCATTGGCAATCGCTGTGAAATTGAACATAACTATTTGGATTCACGTTTGGTGGCCATTACCGCTTTGTATGGCGAGGAAATATTGAGCAAAAAGGCAACAACTTAAGTGCATTATAGAATAAGTTTAGTTTTTTTTTTTTCACAAACTAACTTATAATATAACTAATAAGGTATGTATGAATAACTGGTTGATTAAAGATTCGTGTTATGAGTGAAATTACATATGTATGTGATAAATTTAATGTTAAATTTTTCAAAAAGATTAATTTAAAAATAGGTATTTAAATTGAATATATTTATAGGACTTTTTCCAAATATTAGTAGTGCTAGATAGAAAATTGTCGATAACCCAAATCAATCAAATTTTATAGTTCTATTTAAATTTTTGCTTAATTTTCAATAATCAATTTTACAGATTTATCTTAAATTTTATTGTTACAAGAAAAGTTTACATAAAGTATAATTTATCTATATTCTCTTTTTGTATTTACAGATATTACAAATAGACGATATATTTTTAATAATAAGAAAACTAATAAATTATAGCGTTATCTTAAATTTTATTGTTACAAGAAAAGTTTACATAAAGTATAATTTATCTATATTCTCTTTTTGTATTTACAGATATTACAAATAGACGATATATTTTTAATAATAAGAAAACTAATAAATTATAGCGTTATTGGAAAACTAACAAATATCGAAGGAACATTTTTTCTTTCCAAGGTATGTATCATATTATCATTTTATTTATTTTTTAACATTAAAATTATAAAACACAAAGTAAAGGTAATCAGAAATAAAAAGAAAAAATTGTACAAAAATTTATATCTTCATTGATATCTTAAATAAAAATATAAATAAATTAAAATGTAGTATGTTTTAGTTAGTTAAATTATAATTATACCCTACACCACTTCAGTGGGGAGGTTTTAGGTGTGTCCTAAGGTTTTAAAAGCCTAAAATATTGGTCCTAGACCCACCTTAAATAATCACTTTCTGTCGTCTGTCCGTCTCTATGTCCATGTAAGATAATAAGATAATTTGATAAAATTTGGCACATCTCTTGTCCCAAGAACGCCTATTAGAAATGGTTGAAATCGATCCAATATTTCATCTAGCCCACCATACAATTGTACCTCCAAATAAGGCTTTTTGGCTCATAATTATGTTAAGCTTTCGTTTTACTTTTCCTAAAGTAGCAAAAAACAGAAATACATACATAATTCCACTTTCAATCGATATACAATTCTGCGACTAGAGGGATAGTATATCTATTTATTAAATTTCTAAAACATTAATAAAGTTAACAATAGAAATTAATCTTTTAATTGCTCATACTTTTAACAAACTTATTTATTTTTCAAAATCCAATCAACAGCTTCTGAAAAATTCTCTACCAAGGCAGTGGGTGGTGGTTCAGCCACTACATCGGGCAAATATTTACCAGTTTTAACCTGTAATCCTTTAAGGCCCACCTTCATAGCACCAACAATATCATCTTTAGTATCCTACACAAACACAAACATCATTATTATCAAAATAATCTTCATAAACATAAAGCAAAACTTACATCACCAATCATAACGCATTCTTCCACATTTATATCATCGGACAAGGCACTTTTAAAGAAATACTCATTTGGTTTACCAATTAAAATGGATTTAGTACCGGTAGCATATTCTAGACCTTTGACAAAACAGCCAGGACCTAAAGCCAAACCATCTTTACGTTTATAGTATTTACCTTCGTGTATGGCAATTAACTTATGTTCCTTGTTGGCCAATAATATACTACAAGAAGAACAAATCATAGCAAGATTTTTATAAGGTAAGTGAATAAAGGTTAAACTTACTTAAAAGCTTTATTAAGATTTTCATAAAAAAATTCATCGGGTGCCAAACCTATAGCCACTGAATCGTAAGGTTTTCCTTCATCATTTGCTGGAAAATCCGAACGTGCATCTTTGCTTACCAAATAAAAGGGATTTAGGTTTTCTCTTTTGATATATTCTACCGCCGCACTTAAGGAACTGTGTATTTCATCTTTATCCACTTGGAAACCAATAGTTTGTAAACGTTTTAATAAAGTTTGTCGCGATTCTTTAGTGGTGTTGGTGACAAATTTAATCATCACACCCGAATCACGCAATCTGTCGAGGAACAAAATTTTATAAATATTTCTTATACTAGAATACAAAACCTAACCTTTGAAGGGCATTAACAGCATCTGGTGTTGGTTGGTCTTCTACATGTAGAGTACCACTTAAATCGATTAAAGCTGCTTTAATAGGCATTTTACTTTTAATTGAATAATTCCATAAGTTTTTATAACGTTTAATTGTAAACAATTGCTGCTTATGATGATATTGGTTTCGGCAGAAGGCAGACAAATATTTTGTATACATTATTGTGAATGATTATGAATTATAAATTAACCCTTCAGCTGGTGAATGGGGGACATAGCTGACTAGTAGATTTTATAAATTAAATTTACATAACCTCTCGATATCTTAGGTTAGATTTTCAGGTTACAGAAAAGTTGATCCGTTTTGGTCCCCTTAAGAGAAGAAGATGTAGATTAAGTATAGACAGAGAATAAATGAAATTTCTCGAGATATGAAATCATATATAGAGAGAAGAGCTTATAAGCCTAAATGACTAAACATTGAGATGTTCTAATCTTGCACTAGAGACCTAGATCGTTAAAGAATTGATGTCCGAGTGCGTTAAACGAGTAGTCCTGTATTTATTTAATCACATGGTTAGTTAGGGAAAACCAACACATTTTCGTACATGGCTGACTTTGGTTCATGTTTAATTACTTTGAACAAGTAGTTAAGCTATTTAAACTTTAACCATCACTCGTTACTTAATCTTCATATTATATCTGAAGCATTTCCCGACGGCAATCCACAGCCACACTAATGGTGTCTGAATGATCTGATAGTTACATCCAGAGAAAGTTTTGCAAAACTGCCATCTCAGAAGCTGCTCGCTTTATTCCTACTTGTCGAATATCCCTACTGCGGCTGTACTTAGCAGTAGAAGCATCCAAGCTTGCAGTTGAACGCTATAGCATTCAAAATAACAACCAAGTTGATCTAGATGCGCCCAACTTTACCAACAAATCAATAGGTTGGTAAATGAAGACATGGAGAAGAATTACACTTAATGAACTGTAACATGAGTTCTGGTGTTAGTGAGCTGTAGTCTACAGCTGATTGGTCCTGACGGAATTTTAATGCTGATGTTAAAACACCTTGGAGAGCGGGGAATTCAGTAACTGACTATGGTTTTCAACATGTCATAGAGTAGCCTTTTAATACTCGAAGGCTGGAAAAATGGTAGAGTAATTCCATTTCTAAAACTCGGATTTACGGAAGGACATTCCATACAGATAAGATGTCCAAGTGCTTTACGTGAACACTTGCCAACCATTGGGTGAGCCGACTAGATGACTCACCACTGCCCCCTTTGTGTTTCTTACATGTCGGTGACAATTTTTGTAAACGTTGCTCAAGTACTCGAGATATCTAATCCAGAATCAATGCTGCCGCGTTACGGCGGCAGACCGAAACACGAATAAGCCGAGGACTTTGTACTTATTCACAAAGAAACACTGTGGTAAATCTGGTACAAACAGAGTAAACCCTGGAAAATTCAATGGTATTACGTGTATAAGATAACTTTCCAGCATACTTCTCATTCATTCGACACACTTAAGAAAACAACATCCGAATCACTTACTCCTGGTATACTGGTGGGCATATTCCGCATACCATACATTCATCCTGTATCATAAACACTTAACACTCGTTTCCAACGTTTAGTCCCACAGTCACTCCTGGTCACACTGGGGTATCTGTTGACTCCGGCAACAGCATCGAACTTATCCACAATTTTAGACTTTACCGTGCATCAGTCTTTAAACGACATTCTCTTCCCAAACCACAGTGGTTATCCTTTCCAATAACCCCGTCCAGACAAAGTACAAAATTCTGCACCGTGGACTAGCTGTTCCCGTAGTACCAGATTATTCTCTGGTTCGACCCCATGTCAAATCATTCCAAAGAAAGGCCGAGGAAACTTGTGGTACACCTCTTTTCCTCGGTTTCATACAGACATATATCCCTCCTGTGATCTCCCCGATCTGTCTTGTCACTAAACAGCAGCTCATTGCCGCATGGTTTCCGCAAAAAAACATTAACCGCGATTGCCACTCATATCTTACAAGGCTTTCACAGCCGCCCTGTGAAAGGTCGGTCCCAGTAGCGCTTAAACTGTCTGAAGCTTTCGACACTGTCATTAATACCACTTGCAATCCACAATGCTAATCAAAATGAAGAGATGGATCGTGAATTATCTGAGTGACCGTCAGTCCTTCGAACAGTTTAGAGATAAACGTTACAGACCTCGCTGACTGTACTATCATGGCGACGAGCCACAACGTTCTGGTAAATGGTTATTTCGACGAAATACATACATCAGACAATGTAATGTTGACCAAACAGGGATTGAGCAACAGGCTTAATGCCTATTGGTCACGCATAGATCGTACCGTCTCTAAAGAATGTTCAGCATTTGGTCAGGTACCAACCACATTTTCAACCGCTTAGCAAATTCTACTTCACTTTGTCCTATCTATCTATCTATCTATCTATCTATCTATCTATCTATCTATCTATCTATCTATCTATCTATCTATCTATCTATCTATCTATCTATCTATCTATCTATCTATCTATCTATCTATCTATGGATTTATGAACACATCGAGTTGAAGTAGGACAGTTTTTTTTTGACATATTGCTGTAAGTCCGGTATCAATAGATAACACATGAATATGATACGGTACATCTATCACCATTCAACCTATTACACAACTCTATTATCGGACACATTGACCTAACCGCATACATTCACTTCTACTTGGTTGGATGGACTTTGGGTTTCAACTATAAAGAGCAACCTTTTCAATAATCCATACAACACGAAACATTGTCCTGCAATGGCACTTCGTCTTGACAACTTTTTCCCACTCGAATCCCGTTCAAACAAGCGGGAATTCCTGCAACAATCTTGATATAGTATGTATACGTGTCATGGATTTGATTGCAGCTACAAGTCAGTCTGATTCCTAAAAGTGTTGATACGTCTATTGCATTTAGTCTGAATGTTGTAGCAGCGATACGAGAAATTAGACGTATGACTCGAAGATCGTGTACCTTCCTAACGATGCTTCTTCTCTCTGAAAACTTCTCTGCCTTAATGGGTAGGTCCTCTGAATTTCGTCAGCACCTAATTGTTGTGATTAAGCATAATGAGTCTGGATTGCATAGAATTGATAGACACTGATCAAAAGAATTCGGAGCAGAATTTCCGGAATAGTCTGTTCCTTAAAAGAAAAAAGAATAATAAAGAAAACATACATATTATGTACGTGTAAAGTCGGTATTGCTTCGATCCTAAACTTTCTGAATAATACGCGTTGTATCCATGTTTATTTTAGTATTTCATTTTAGGAATTGTTAACAAAATGGTTGAGGATTTGTAAACGTTTAACATGCTATCGAGAGAAAATACATCTTACGGAAAGGTTAGGAGATAGCATTTTTTTTAAACTATTTTAAACATAACATTTGTATTCCTTTGATGTTATAATTTAGCTCTAGAATTTATAAACCTTTAACAATTATATACGCTTTTTTTTAAAAAAGGGTTAAACATGGCAATATTTCAATCTTACTGGCAAATGAACATTCCAAACAAATACAAAATTCGTTTGTAACACAATTTAACGTGGGGAAGCTAATGATAAGCAACCCTTTCCTCGACACGGTGTGATGTTTCCAACTTAAATAACTTATTGTCTGTTTATTTAAACTAATGATGATATAATTATTTAACTCGCAGTAATTTTACTAAACAAGACATTTTAAATTTATTCTGAAGTATAATTAAAAATTGTTAAAATCTTAATATGTATTTTATAAGAAGCTTTAGTAGCAGGTTATTTAATATTGTTGAGATTTCTGTTTTTGATTATAATTAAAAATACCTGTATATGCCACAATTAGATAACAGTAATAAGTCTTAAGAATTTTTTTTGCTCTGTCTGATGGTCACTTGTTATGATTTAATTTTTTTTTTTGCCAAAACAAGGATTGCTTCAGCAAAACTGACCAAATGAACAAAGACTTTGTAACATTTTTAATTTCATTCATGTGTGTGGATGTCCAAACATTTTAATCTCTCTAAATTGGATTAAGTACTTTTTTAAAAGGTACTCCTTTGTTTTCAAACAAAAATATTATTTTAGAGCTCACACAACAATGTCGTTATCACTCTTTCCCATTTAATGTACTCACATCATCTTACAGGATTTGCATCATGTCCATTTTGTTGTCGTCTCCTCCTGTTTGTATTACATTGTTATTGCAAATTAAATCTTGTTGTCTCATTTTTTCTCTCTTTTGATTTCAAAAGCTTCATTTGATATTTTGTGAAGTATTTTTTTGTGTTGGTCAGAGCTTCAAAGGATTGAAAGTTTAGTCTTTCGCTTGTTTATGATGGCAATTATTTAGAATATTACTTTAGAATTTCTCTTTCGTATCCAAAAAGTTTGATAAAACCCGCTTTTGGCCATATTTGAGAAGTTGTAACAGAGAAGATAGATAGATAGATAGATAGATAGATAGATAGATAGATAGATAGATAGATAGATAGATAGATAGATAGATAGATAGATAGATAGATAGATAGATAGATAGATAGAAATATAGATAGATAGATAGATAGAATAGAATATAGATAGATAGATAGATAGATAGATAGATAGATAGATAGATAGAGAGATAGATAGATAGATAGATAGATAGATATAGATAGATAGATAGATAGATAGATAGATAGATAGATAGATAGAATAGATAGATAGATAGATAGATAGATAGATAGATAGATAGATAGATAGATAGATAGATAGATAGATAGATAGATAGATAGATAGATAGATAGATATATAGATAGATAGATATAGATAGATAGATAGATAGATAGATAGATAGATAGATAGATAGATAGATAGATAGATAGATAGATAGATAGATAGATAGAAATATAGATAGATAGATAGATAGATAGATAGATAGATAGATAGATAGATAGATAGATAGATAGATAGATAGATAGATAGATAGATAGATAGATAGATAGAAGAAGATAGATAGATAGATAGATAGATAGATAGATAGATAGATAGATAGATAGATAGATAGATAGATAGAGATAGATAGATAGATAGATAGATAGATAGATAGATAGATAGATAGATAGATAGATAGATAGATAGATAGATAGATAGATAGATAGATAGATAGATAGATAGTAGATAGATAGATAGATAGATAGATAG